GGAGACATTACCCAGCAAAGTATGAAGTCTGTGCCACAAACAGCACAGAATCTAAAATCTCAAGCTGCAATGTGCAAGGGCACACCACTGTACATGCACTTGCTATGAAAGCTTCCCTTCAAGGTCTCCATGAGCATGTTTAATTTAACATACGTTTCCTCGATGTCATTTGAGTTAAGGGGACCAGGTGAATCCAGACAGAAACCTGCAGAAGACAAAACAGGTTTTTACCAATGAGAAGGATCATGATACTTTGAAAGAGATGAAGAGCCAGGCATGCCTATCCACAAGTCTTGGAACTTGTCATCTCCTCAAAAGGTTACAGACTTAGCCTGCTGAGAAACTTCTTGTTACAGAGAAAAATCAGAGGCTTGGTTTGTGACTGATCCTATACTGAAAGGGCTGTAGGGCGAGGAAAGTCCCCCACACATGTCCTCCCTTCCATTAATGCTTTTGGCTGTAAATATTGGTTACAAGAAGCATCCTGTGGTACTGCCTTGTATGAAGAAGCTTCTTGCCTTAAAACTGTGTTATTAATTATATTTTTGCTTATTTTTACATACACATGCACACAAACTAACAGGAAGCAACTTTGCTAAGGAATTGAGTCTTAAATATAAAGTTTTACTTCCACTTCATCCCAACTAAATTAAGAGTATGCATCTCGTTATCTACCGAGCTCTTTGTAAGAAGAATCAGTATCGAGAAAGCGAGCTAGCACCTCAGAGTTAGATCACAGAAGAGTAAGGCTGGAAGGGCCCTCATGTAGTCCAACCCTCTGCTCAGAGGAGAAGCACTTCTAAAACCATCCCAGCCCAGAACAGGCTATACAGATACTAACCACCCTTAGAGTCAGAAAGTTCTTCCTAATCTCCACCTCAAATGTTCCGTGTGTGCATTCAAGTTGCAACGTTACAGATGCAGTTTCCTTCTGGTATGCTTAAGACCATCAACAATTATAAGCCTGCTTTCTAGGAGCCTATATTTTATTACTGTAGTCATGAGCCAGAAAGTTGTGCCTGTAAAACATCTAGTACATAGCAAAAAAGTTCCCTGCCCCAAACAGCTTCAGATGTCTGTACGGGTGTGATGTGATGTCTACCCATCATTATGCACAATGGCACTCCACACCCATCCACCTCACCTTGATGAGCAAATACAAAGAAAAATTGGTCAGCAATGTAGGCTTCTGGCATGTTCGGGCCATTGCCTAATCACTGCTCTTTGGAGGCATGATAACGAAAGGAGTCTTAAGGAAGTATTTAAAGGAGAACAATGAAGCAGCTTTGCTGGAGCTTACAGGATATCCTCAAGGGACTCTGGAAGAATTGTTTTAAACAAGTGGACAGAAGCAAGCTGCCTCTTCACATCTCCATGTTGCACCCTCCTGTTATCTCACTCCGCTTTGCTGTCTTTATGCAAGTTTTATCAGGCTGCACATGAAAGGGGGAACACATCTAAGGAAAAAGGTGGTCTTTAATCCCTGATGCTAAGGTCTTTAGAATTAGGAAAGCATTAAGCAATTGTAAGCAACAAAGGTAGCACCTTTCCCCCACTCAGGACTTTCCAAGTGCTAGACCAGGGGTGGCCACTAGTGGCACAGGCAGCCCATGTGCATGGCATATGATAGATCAGGGAGGGAACAGAAAGCAGAGCAACAGGTCAGGCAGGAGAAGGAGATCAGAACTGCACTTGGGGAGGGAGGGCATGGAGCTTTGTATGTAGCACACCAGCCACATCCCTGCTAGTCTAGGCAAAGATGGCATCACTAACATACAACTAACCCCAGAGGGCAAGCTCAGCAGTTAGGGGGACAACCAGCATGTGGCACCACCAGGAGGTATAGGAGAAGATGGCTATGGACACGCATGATCCTCCCTTATTAGCACCTGCACAGACACTGACCACAAAACCCTGATTTAAAGCCTCAGCTGATGCTTAACTAAGTTCTGAAGGCTTGAGGCATCTCTGACAGCAAGCTGTTCAGCTGACAGAAAGAAGAGCTTTTATATAGAAGGGAAGAAAGGGAAGAGACAGCTGCCAAGAGACTTAGTAATAAGTGGTTCGATTAGATCAATTTAGGATGAGCAAGGCAGTTAACTGCATTTTAATTCACCCAGTCAATCTACTTCTCACCTCTCTTAGCAGCAGCTCCTCTCCTTGCTCCCTTCTATATAAAACCCTTGCTTTCTGGCACTGCATTCATAGCACCTGACAAAGTACGTTGGTGCCTATAAAGGGTCATGCCTCTCTGAATCAGTTGGTTTCGTGCTGCTCTGCACCATCTTCTGCCTGATTTCAGACTAACGTGATTAGCTATCCGAGAGCGTGCAGCATTAGCCTGGACTTTTAAAACTTAAAGTTTGCCCATTACAGACATCAAGCAAACAAGAGGATGCCACTCGTTCATTCCCAAGCTTTTATTTGCGATTAAAGCAATCTAACCTGAGTCCGTAGATTCTGACGAGGCCATTCTTTGTAGGCTGTTACTGTTCTTCATTTCCAGCATCTGCTCAGAGTTCTCAAATTGGCTACAAAGATCCCAAAATAAATGAGTTATTTTATTGAAAGGTTTCATTTAAAAAAAAAAAAAAAAGGAGAGACAACAAATAAACCACGTGCAATTTACAAGATAAACCCAAGCTTCAAGTAGGGATCCAGCGCATCAGAAAACATGTCGCCTGTTGCGAGCTTTTCGAGTTCTTTGCAACAGAAAAAAAATCGCTCTGGTATCATTTCACGAGCGAAGTGAGGGAGAGCAGGGAGCCGGTATTTTTTTGAGGAGGGCCTCGAGTCTAATGTGGGGACACCCATTAGATTTGGAGGACCTCAAGTCTAAAAAGCATCGAGAACCGCTGGTTTAATGAATGACATGGTCACGGCTCCAGTACCCAGCAGTCTTGAACACTCACTTAGTGGCTCCATCACACTCCCCACGACTTGCCTTGACCCCATGCCGCTCAGGAAATAAACCCCCGCGTGTTCTCACGAGTATTTCCACAGAGGCACTGCTCATGCGAAAACCCACCAAGCTCTACAACCACGAATGGGGGCTCGCAACGGTCGCGACTGAAAGCGTGCTCTTTGCTTTCCGGCTTTGGAGCTTCTCGGGTCCCCACCTGCGCTTTCCCAAGCGAGAACGAGAAACTTTCAAAAGAGAATCTCAGTTTTTCTTCAGTCCGTCTCGGCCCTACCAGAACGGTGCAGATTAAGTCAAAATTGGCACGGTTCGAAATCCTAGAAGACAACGCTCCCTGGAACGAGTACGATCGCTGGAATTGATTTTGGGCCGAGGCCCGTGAGAAAGTAGGACGGTGGCCGGCAGCCAAACCCAGCCACTC